GCCTTGTCAGCAGCCAGGGCACTTAGTCCTTTATTTCTGTAGTGTAGCTAAGTAATACAGAAGAAGAATCTCCTACACTACTCATTCCTTAGACAATTATTTTCTGAGTGATAACAGGGTGAAAAGGTAGCTTTTTGTTGTGGATTTCTTTTTTGTCTCTTCTTACTAGTCACACAAATACTATGTGCAGGGAAAGAATGGGGTTTCGAAAAGATGGTTCTGGACTGATGGGAACAAATGTAAAATTCAACCTCCTTGTTCTCCTTGCTTCATGGCTGTCTCGGTCAGGGTGGTGTTTTATGCAGGAATGGTCTAAGGAACTCTCAATGCAAGTTGAAGAAATACTTGGCAATCAATTTGATGGAGAATCTTTACCGGGAGGAGAGGACGACTCTTAGGATCCTTCACGTCAACATTGTGTAATTGATATTAGGAGATAAAAATGAAAGTGGGGAAGAATAGCGAGCCACATGCTGAGTTATATCCCTGTCCTTCATCCTTAAACACGACACTACTTGGTGGTGATCACAGGGCCCGCTGGGTGCCTGCAAAGATGGATGTGTGGCCACCAGTCCTTTCCACTTCATGCACACACATGAAGATTGCTCTTTGATTTGTGGCTGCCGTCATAATTTGCTATGCCTGTCACACTGTTTGCAACTTATCGTTAGCCCAAAGCTCTGTTGAAAAAGAGCTGTCCCATTGCTGTTTGCTGTGCACCAGATGGATATGTCACCTAAATTAATAACGCCGGACTGCTCGTTATATTGGGGAACATTTGCCAAAGTTATAACTCTTTCTTTATTTCCGTTTAGTTTCTTTAACACTTTTTTTTATGCTCCAGAAAAAAAAGGTCATGTAAGGCATCCTTATTAAATGAAGGACTTGCAAGATGTGGTGGTTGAACTAGACCTTGCTGAGAACAGAGGTCTCCAGGGCTGAAATTGTGGAGGACAATGGGATGAGAGAGGAAGGATGGGGGTGGGGGTGAAGCTGTAGCCTTTTCCTCTTTTCCTATTTTGAGCAGAAGTCTGTTTTCTTCAAAAATTATTTAGCAGTATTTTCAGAACCTCATTTATAACTGTTAGAGAGTGTTAAAGCAAGCCTAAACAAGGGGAGGGTCCGGTGGATGCTTGATAGATTGGTTTTCTTTTTAATATAATCTCATTAGCATGGGCTCATTTATTAAGGCACCAGGGGTTTTCTCTCTAGGCTGTCTCTCTGTATTTGCAACAGTTGCAGTTTCAACTAGAGATAAAACTTTGCAGGTGTTCAAGAACCCCCTGGTAACATTGTTAGATGCCATCGAGGTGGCTCTAACTCACAGAGACCCATGTACCACGAAGGAAACACTTCTTGCTCCCGTGCCATCCTCACAGTTCTTGTTTGAGCCCATTGTTGCAGCCACAGTCTCAAATGATCTTGTAGTAAGGTACATTAATTTATCACAAAAAGATAGGCAGGCTTTGCTTACAATTAGGACCCCTTTCTTCCTAACCCTGGACACCTTGAAGTATATTTGAAAGCTTTTGTCACTCTGCTATATCCATAGGGTTTGGGAACACTCAGGTGAAAATAGTATGTCTTCTTTGAGAATCCTAAGAATCCCCTTTAGCTCTAAGGATAATAAGAAAAACAAATAGATATTTCTTTCAAGTGGTAGCCCATCTGGGTGGGAGGTTCTATACCTGATTTTCCTTTCCTATTGTGGTTGCTTGTAGGCCCTTGGAAAGTTTTTGGATAATTAAGCTTTGCTGTCTTGGGTTCCCCCTATATCCTATAACCGAAGGACAGATTCAGCTGAAAAATAATACTTGTAAGAGAAGTCTAAGAGGAGTCTGCTTTGGAAAGGACCCGTATGATGTAATTATTTTCTTTTGATTGAATTCCCACTTCCCTTCCCACCTACTTTTCGTGCCTCGTCATCCTTGGTTCCTCACTAATCAAGTCTGCTGTATTCTGGAATATTCTATTCTGTTCTCTGGGATTCTAATTGGAATCCTCATTAATGTTGAGTTGATTTTGAATCACAGGGATCCTCTAGGACAGAGTCAGACTGCACCGTAGCATTTCTGAGACTGTAAATCTTTATGGGAGCAGACAACCTCAACTTTCTCCCATGATGCTGTTGACTGGCTTGAACCACCAACTTTGCAGTTAACCATCTGATGTTTAGCCCATTGCAGCTTTCAATTTTGACACCAACTGCAAATTCAGTACTTCTTCCTCCGACCCGCACCATCAGAGAGAGGCCAGTGCTCACCAGTTAAAAAGGCATGGTTCTCCAGACTGCCAAGTCTGCATAAGACTTCAGATCCTAGCCATGAACTAGGGGTCACCACAACACCCTCATTTTAGGCTGCTGGCTACAAACTTAGGTGTTCCTTCTGCCCCTTCAGGATGTCAGGATGCCTGGGACTAGCTTGCACCCCCACCCCCATCCCCCTTCTGACCTGCTGGGCTCCCACTGCTCCTTTGGTTTCATTCATGGACTAGCATAGCTCCCAAGAAACCCGCAGCATGGCATCCTATGATACAAATGCAGAGACACAAAGCCTCTGTGCATGGATGCGTGTCACCAGCCAGGAAGATCATGGAGTTTCCATGTTTAGAGTCTTTACTGGGCCTCATTAAGTAGGTACAGTTGATTGAATAATTGTTCATTGTTGGAACTCAAGCTCCAGCCCCACCCCCTAAAGTCACCTCATCAGCATACTCCTTCAGCTCAGGGGTGGGGGGTGGGGGCTCATAAAAAGCAAAGAAACTTCCACCACTGAGGAAACTTTAAGGTTTCAGAGTTTGTCTTTCAGGAACTAAGTCGGAAGACCAAATTCTTTGGGTAAAGATCATTGTAAAGGCCACATTTACTCCCCCCTCCTTTTCTGACTTTTATGTCCTATAAGGTTTCTTTTTTGATTGCATATTTGATTCCCAAGGAGAGGGTTGTGATAAGCACAATTTTGCCTGTAGCTGGAAGAATCATATTCAAATATCTAAGCCTCCACTCTGTCATGATGGTGGATTTGGGGGATGGGAACAGGTCAAGGCAGGTAAGGTGAAGAAGGCTGTGTCAGGGTCCAGGACCTGGCTGGCTTCGTTGCCAAATCGAGGTCTTTGGAAACCAGCTGGATATTTCCCAATTTGTGTTTTGTTTTGTTTTTAATGGAGACCGGGTAGCACTGTAGGTTAGACGAGAGCTGCTACAAGGTCAGTAGTTCAAATCCATTAGCTGCCCTGCAAGTGAAAGGCAAGGCGGTCTGCTCTCAAAGATTTGTGGACTCAGAAACCCTATATCGGGTCACTTTGAGTCAGAATCAAGTTGGTAGCTGTGGGCTGTTTTTGCCACGCGGATGCTCAAACAGAGTCAGTCATCTTTCAGCTTTTTAACCATATATCTTGAACTAAGAAACCATTGTATAGTGTTGTTTAAAAGCCTAGTCTCCTGTAATCACTCTTCAAAGCTTTAGTACAGTCCTTTGAGAAAGACACAGCAGATTGTGAGAAAGTGGAGATGAACCATCAGGTAGAAGGAAGGGGCACTGACCCAAAGCGGAGCTAGCATGACCCAGGAGGAAGTCAAGAGAAGATGAGCGGAGGAAGGAAGATGGGGCCTAGGTGGTTTGGTGGTTTGAGAGGCTTCTATATAAGGCAGAGATAACATGACAGCTCAGAACAGCAAGTGAAATATAGCTTAAATTGAGTGAATTGAAAATGGCTTCTCCTTCAAAAGAATGCAGAAAACAGAGAATGCTCAGAATTGGCAGTGGCGTGCATAAGACACACCCAGGCTGAATCTTGTGGCATTATATAGATGAGAAAGAGCAATCTTCTATTTGTTGCTCTAAAAGAAAACAGGCATAATGATCTCAAATACAAGGTATTTTTTAACATATGCCTAGATAACTGTTTGCATCTAACTCTATTTTGCTTATCTCATCGGAGTCGGAATTAGAGAAGAAAACTACATGTGCTTGTAATGTAACCGCTGCAGCGTCATAGAAGCATAGTGGAAGCGTGCCCTGACATCCGTGCCTGAGCACATCCACCTCCTGGGCAGCATGCCTATACGGCCACCCTAGAGTGGGCTAAGAGTAGATTGATGACAGTTTTGACTGTCACTTTGTGATTGAGTGGTAATCATCCATAGTTGAGAAATCACACAGGCTTAGTAAATTGAAGTGTGTGTGTGTGTGTGTGTGTGTGTGTGTGTGTGTGTGTAACTCATTTGACAGCAGCACCTGACCTGAACTGACGTGAGGTCACTTAGTGTCATTGCCTTGTACATAGGGTCACTGTGAATCGGAACAAACAGAATAGCACCTAACAACAGCCCCTTTAGGTGATTATCCTGGGGAAGTAAAACTATATTTGGTTTTCTTAAATGCTACCCTAAGCCCTCTCAGTGGTTCCAAGAATTCAGATATTGTTGTTATTAGCTTTGAGTTTTAGCTCACAACCCGTGGTGGCCCCATGCATAAGGGAGCAAAATGCTTCCTGGTCTGGCGACATTCTCCTGATCAGTTGTAGATCAGATCTATTGGGTTGGGATCTAGCACGTTTTCATTGTACATCCGCAAGCCTTCCTTTCTAACCCATCTTACTCAGGGAATTTTGCTGAAACCTATTTAGCATCATAGCATTCCCACAAGCCTCTCCTGACAGACAGGTGGTGACTGAGCATGAAGCGGGTATATTGACCGGGAATTGAAACTGGGTCTTCCACATTGAAGGCTAGAATTTTACAACTGAACAGCCAGTGTCCCAAGAAATCTGATGAGGGGAATGTAAATGGATGCTCATCATCTCTACATTTTATGAATTCAGTTATATTTCAATGTTTCAAATGTTTCAAACATAGTTTATTTTAACACTATTATGTAAGACATTTGTATCCATTTGGCTCAAAACTGTCTTATAGCATCTTTGGTTTGATTTCTCTCTCTCTTTCTCTCTGTCTATTTTTGGTTTTGATTTTTGTTTTTCAACTTTACTTGTTTTAGGATGAATCTTCCATGTTCTTCCAGTTTGGCCCATCAATTGAACAGCAAGCTTCAGTAATGCTTAACATCATGGAGGAATATGACTGGTACATCTTTTCTATTGTGACCACCTACTTCCCTGGCTACCAGGACTTTGTAAACAAGATTCGCAGCACCATCGAGAATAGCTTCGTGGGCTGGGAGTTAGAGGAAGTTCTCCTGCTGGACATGTCGCTGGATGATGGAGATTCTAAGATCCAGAACCAGCTTAAGAAACTCCAAAGCCCCATCATTCTCCTGTATTGCACTAAGGAAGAGGCTACTTACATCTTTGAAGTGGCTAACTCAGTAGGGCTGACCGGCTATGGCTACACATGGATTGTTCCTAGTTTGGTAGCAGGGGATACAGACACAGTGCCCTCGGAGTTCCCCATTGGGCTGATCTCTGTATCATACGACGAGTGGGACTATGGCCTCCCCGCCAGAGTGAGAGATGGGATTGCCATTATCACCACCGCTGCTTCTGACATGCTTTCCGAGCACAGCTTCATCCCTGAACCCAAGAGCAGTTGTTACAACACCCACGAGAAGAGAATCTACCAGTCCAATATGCTAAATAGGTGAGTGTGAAGCAGAGGGTACATTGATGGCGAAGGTCAGAGGAGACCTTCAGAGCTTGGGGTTGTTGGTTCGGAAACTGGGGAAAAGCCCTTCAAGATGGCAGCAGGTTGAAGGCGGGCCTTTGGGCTGGCAATTGGTAATGATGGTAGCAGCATTTCAGATTCAAATCTTGTGGGTTCATGCTCCTAGTCAAAGAAAAATGACAGTAGCCGAAGTAACTTCTACTTCTTGGTCGTTTGCTATGTCCTACTTATTGCTAAATATTGCATGTTTGGCTTTTAATCTTCAAAACAGCAACTCTAATAGACAGGCTTTGCAATCTGTGTTCATTTTACCAGGCAACAGAATAAGGCTATGGATGGGTAAGTCCAAAGTTATGATGCAAGTAAATGTTTCAGCTTGGACCGAGCCCAGGTCTCTCAGACCACTAAATAATTGATCACTATGAAAGATGCAGTAGATTTTGAAGTAAGGGAGAACCAATCGCATTAGTCAGTGGAGTGGGACTGTCCTGTGAAGGCGTGGAGAGCAAGCTGAGTGAGTCTGTAGGCATATGAGGTGTTCTTTCCTTCCATCATCACTTCTCAACCTGGGGGTTACGAGCCCTTTGGAGGTCGAACAACCCTTTCACAGGGGTCACCTGATTCATAACAGTAGCAAAATGACAGTTATGAAGTAGCTAAGAAAATAATTTTATGGCTGGGGGTCACCACCACTTGAGGAACTGTGTTACAGGGTGGAGGCATTAGGCAGGTTGAGAACCACTGCCTTAAATGAATAAACTTGGTTTTAATCTCACAATCTATGCTTTATCTTTATCTCCTTCAAGCAGATTTCATGGTTTGTTTTGAAAAAAAGGGAAGGGTGGGATCTGCTCCTTTGACACCTCCTTCCCCCCCTCCCCCCACCAACACCGTCACAGAGCCCATGTACTATTGCAGCACATCCTCCTGGCGGTATCCTGTAACTCAGCAACATAGATGAGCCTATATGCTGCTTCTGTGGCTTTATATTTGTACGGACTTCTATATGCACATTGTAAAGATTCCAACAATACAGAAGATGATAAAGAAGAAAGTAAAAATCACTCTTAATCTGACTAACCAGAGATAATCATTATTCAAATAACTACCAAACATCCTTCTAGACATCTCTCCGTGTGAAATCTCTCTATCTCTGTCTGTATATCTTTTTGCAGACATATGACCATCCCCATATATATCTACATAAACGCAAATGTAATTGTACATATTGTTCAATAACTTGCCTTTGATTTAATAATATGTTTTTCCTATCAATGAAGGAACATCCAAAAGTTTGTGGGAAAAATGCCATTATCTTTTAATTCCATTTTTCTACCAACTTTTTAAAAACAGCTTTATTGACATATAATTCGTGTACCATACAATTCAGTGGTTTACATATATTAAAATGAGTGGTCCGTTCATCACTACAATCCATCTTACTATGTTTGGGTTCAATCTCATGTCTATTGTTATTAGCCCCACATTTCCCCACAAGCTCCCTTGTCATAACCCACAGAAACTATCTTGGTACTATCTCTATAGATTTGCCTATTCTGTGTTTCCTAGAGAGAAAACCATACAGAAATAGCACAAGCACAACTAAAGAAAACATAGAAAGACCCCAATCAAAAAGAAAGCAGAAAATAATAAAAGTAGAGCAAGTTAAAAGTAGGTCAAAAGGGGAAGCACCTGGTAGGATGGTACATTTTTACCTAACTAGATCTGCCTTAATTCACTTTTCAATGCCTTCCATTTGAGAACAAGATTATTAGCATCTTTGATCAATGGACAGAGTGAATCCAAGGGAGGTGTAATCTGTGTTTTTGAAGCCCTTGGTATTCTCATGCATAGTACTTACTTCCTGTTCTTCCATACTCTTACTTGTAAGGCTTCTGGGGGACAAAGTGTCTTGATTTCTTCCTTTCTCTGTAAGAGTTTCTTCTCAGGCTTCCTCTACTCCTGCCTTACATATGGATACTGCTCAGCGTTGTGCCCTAGACTCTGTTCTCTTCTCCATTTCCAAGGACCCCGTTAACGTCTATGTAGCTCCCAGGTCAACATCTCCTACCTAAACCTCTCCCTGGAGCCCCCAGCCTCGGTATCTTTTTGGATTTGTTCTTAGGCTGCCATAAGAACGTTCACCTTGTCTTCTCTCCTATGCCCCCTTTGTCCCCTTCTAGCCAAATTTTCACACGTTGGGCTGCTACCCTCAAGGTTAGCAGTATGAAGCTACCAGTTGCTCAACAGGAGAAAGATGAGATTTTTACACCTGTACAAACGTGCGGGCTTGGAAGCCCACCGGGGCCGTTCTGCCCTGCCCTATAGGGTTATGACAATGCCATGTGACAATGAGTGAGAGAGAACAAGCACATTTGACAAACCAAGGTGTCCTGGACTCCCTGCCTCTGACCCCTCAATGTCACACTATTTTCTGTGGATTTCAGCCCCCCAATGCCTTTGGCGTACTTATACTTTTTTTCATCTCACCCCCAACATCCCAGCTCCATCTCTTCTTGCCACTGTGATTGCTGAGACCCCCTACATTATCTTCCTCCTCCCAGTTCTACCTCTTGTCCATCTCCACTGAAGCCCGAGTGATCAAAAATGAAAATATGGTTCCATCACTCTCCTCCTTAATAGCTTCCGATGGTTTTTCTTTGCTCCTATAATAAAGTCCCATCTCCTCAATCTTCTTTGTAAAGTCTTCCACAGCATGGGACCTGTCTCTTTCCAGAAGTGTCTATGTCCTTCCCTCCCTGGGACACAGCACACCTTTGGTTCTCCGAGGAAGCCCTGTCCCCTTGCGCTTCCAGCTGTCCTCTGAAGGCGAGGGAACCTGCCCCTTTCCCACCAAACACACACACACACACACACACACACACACACACAGAGCTTCCTTCACAAACTCCATTCTGTTAATCCCAAATGTTTCAGCCTTGGCATCATTTCTACTTGGAAGTCTCTTCTGGACTTCCTAGCCCTGGACTAACTTCACCCCGTGATATGCCTTCGCTGCATCTTGTACTTTTCCAATAAAGCCACATTTGAAACTGTGTTGTAATAATGTGCTTTCTGATTTTTCCTCCTTGTTAAGGTCTGTGAAACCTTTCGCTCTGTGGTTCTCATTTCAATACCCCATCCCTCACACAGTGTGTGGCACATGGAAGGTACTGGAGGGGAATGAGTGGCGCTCTCTGAGCCTCTCCATTCAGATCTGCTCGGCAGGTGCTCTCCCAGTTGTGCTCCTCTTTGTCCGAGAGCAGCCTTCCCTGCATAATTACTAGTCAGGTCTCTGGATTCTTGATTTTCCAGCTATTTTAAACTCAAATCTGATTATTTTGCAAAATGTTTAAATGAAGTAAAACCAAAGCAAACAACACATGGCACCCAACTGAGTTACACATCATCCAGGAATACCTCCATTTGTCCTGAAACCTTCTCTTGGCTAAAAACCAAACCAAACCCCCAAAATCCTGCAAATCAAACTCACTGGCATCCAGCTGAGGAGCCCTGGTGGTATCGTGGTCATGAGTCGGCTGCGATCTGCGTGGTCAGCAGTTTGAAACCACGGAGCAGCTCTGAGGGAGAAAGACTGGGCTTTCTACTCCTGTGAGGAGACTCAGTCTCCAAAACCCACAGCGGTTGCCACGAGTCAGCATTGACCTGACGGCGGTGAATTGAGTGGTGCTGCGTTGCCCTCCAGTCGATGCTGCTCCTGGTGACTCCACAGGACAATTTTAGACTTGGTTTCTTTTACATAGAAACATCACTTCTGAAGCCTGGGATGAGGGAGCACCTTTCGAAAAGTTCTTGGAAACATGGAATCAAAAGATCATGGGATTTTCCCACAAACTTTTTGAAGCCCCTCATATCCCTAAAACCACCATTGGTTTTCATCTTTGCCACCCTTCCTCTAGAGGTCTCTAGGTAGTGCAAACAGTTAGTGAACGTGGCTGCTAAGGAAAGGTTGGAGGTTCAAGTCATCTAACAGCTCAGAATCTGCTTCAGAAAACGCCCGCCATTGAAAACCCTTCTACTCGGACACATGGGAGTCCCCGTGAGTCAGAATCAATTTGTCGGTGACCGGTTAGCATTTCCCCCAAATCTGAGAGGGTTTCCTGTGGCCACTCAGGAAGTTAGCCCACCGAAGTCCTCTGTGCCCTTTCCTTGAGGTGGGTGCTCAGAAGGCCACCACCTACCCTGCCTCTTCTTCTCACGTGTGACAGTCCTGCAAGAAGCACGCGTTGTTCGTGAAGTCCTCAGGCACCACTGCAGAACGGAGAGGTCGGCTTCATCGGGTCCCCTCTTGTGCTTTCCTGGAGGGTAGGCTCCACCTGAATGTACTGCTTACAAGTAGTTGCCAAGCCGCTTCTCCACTGAAAGCACTACTCGGCGAACATCTCCTCCTGCCCAAGTGCTGGTTTTCCTAGGTTCTGTGGCTAGCTACTATCGGACCTCTTTCTCTGAATGCCTCCTCTGTCCAGAGACTTGCTTGCGTTTCTGGGATATCATCATTGTCTTCCAGCCTCTCTCAGACTATTTTATTAATAGGGGGCTTCAAATAGTTCATGGGAGATGGTGAGTTAGTTAATTGTGCCAGCCTGGCCGATAATCACATGTGGTGCTGGTTGAAAGGCGGAGGGATAAATGGGTGGTGAAGC